GGCTTAAAACTCTCGCAGTGATCTCTCTCTGAAGGTGAATGGTTCAGCTAAGGGTATGCATGTTATTGCCTCTCTATATTCGTTGCATATTTGTCATAAATATTACTTTCTACTCTTCAATATTTAATTTTTTTCATATAAACTAACTGCTATATGATTGCATGAGCATGGTAAAAACTATGACTCACACATAGAGCTGTATGATTTATTACCTGAGATGGAAGGGAGGAAGGGAAGGAGAAGGGGCAGAAAGACAAGTTAAAAAAGCACATAAATGACTAATGTTTAAGTAGTTGTACAAAAAAGACAGAATCAGGGAAGAAAAAGGAAAGCAGGCTAAAATAAACACTAGTTTTTTCACCTGCTAAGATATAGCCCCCTCCCTCAGCCTGTGAAATGATTCTGTCTCAAGTCTTCAGCAGTTGTGAAGACTGTGTGAGGTGACCACTTCACAAGGAGGTTGCTGATAGGAAAGAGGAGCCTTAGAGAAAGGCCATTAGCCCTGCCTTGCCTGACCAGCATGGACCCCATGCTTCTCTGCTTGGCAGTCCTGTGTTTCCTGGGAGCAGGTCAGTCCTGTTGACCTTGATGGACTCCAGGGTCAGGACTTACTCCTGGGGCTGTAACATCAGGCTCCTCCTGGGCTGTTCTCCAGTTTCTGTCTCCTTCCTCCACAAGCTCCATGGACACTGAGGTCACCCAGACTCCAAGACAGTTGGCCAAAGCAAGAGAACAGACAGCAAGGATGGAATGTGTCCCCAAAAAGAACATGAATATGTTTATTGGTATTGTCAGAAGCTGGGAGAAGAGCTCAAGTTTTTGATTTATTTTTGGAATGAAGAAGCTTTTGATAAATCAGGAATATCTGATGAGCGATTTTCAGCTCAATGCCCCCAAAACTCACCCTGCAGCATGGAGATCCAGTCCACAGAGCTGGGGGACTCAGCTATGTATTTCTGTGTCAGCAGTCCATCCACAGTGCTGCATGTCAGCTGCTCCTGGAACACAAACCCGTCCTGGCCCAGCTCAGGAAATAGATGGGTCATGATGTTGATGGGAAATAACAGAAACTCTACTTGAAAGAGCACACACCAAAGGGAAATTCTACAAATGAAACCCTAGGTGAGCAGAAAGGGATGCTTAAAGGAGTTAGCGGCACAGACTCGCAGGGAAGGGGAGGGGAGGTGAAAAAGGGCTTGCTTCTGTGTATGGGATCTATGTACATAAAAAGGCAACTAACACAGAAGAAAAAGTAGATGTCTACGGATATCATTTAGACATGGAGGTGTAAATTCTAAAATAGCTAACAGTGTCAGATGTAAGGATAAGCCTAATTACATTGCAGTTTGAGGCATCTGCATCTTTGGGTTGGTTTGGATGATTTGGATATAAATATTGATTGAATTTGGTTTTTACTAATATTTTCTTTTTTTTTATTCTTCAGTTTTACTTTCATATATTCTATTTTTCTTCTATGTTTATTTGCATGTGCTGTGGCATCATTGCTTGCATGTCATCCTTAAGTCAGAAATATTTAATTAAGGGTTGTGGTTGTTAGGTGCCCTCTAGTCCATTCCGACTTGCAGCAACTCTATGCACAACAGAAGAAAATACTGCCCAGCCTTGTGCCGCCTCAAAATCATTGTTGTGTTTCAGCCCATTGTTGCAGCCACTGTGTCATCTCATTGAACGTCTTCCACTTTTTCACTGACCCTCTACTCTACCAGGCATGATATCCTTCTCCAGGGATAGTCCTCCTGATACCATGTCCAAACTACATGAGAAGACTAAGTCTCATCATCCTCGTTTCTAAGGAGCATTCTGGCTATACTTCCAAGCTAGATTTGTTCATTCTTCTGGCAGTCCATGGAATATTCAGTATTCTTCTCCAACACCATAATTCTAAAGGCATCAATTCTTCTTTGGTCTTCCTCATTCATTGCCTAGCTTTCACATGCAAATGAGGTGATTGAAAACACCATGGCTTGAGTCAGGCACACCTTAGTTCTCAAATTGACATATTTGCTTTTCAACACTGTAACAAGGACTTTTGCACCTGATTTGCCCAATGCAACACACTCATTGTTTGATTTCTTGGCTGCTGCTTACATGGGCTTTGACTGTGGATTCAAGTAAAATGAAATCCTTGACATCTTCAATCTTTTCTCCATTTATCATGATGTTGCTTATTGCTCCAGTTGTAAGAATTTTTGTTTTCTTTATGTTGAAGTGTAATCCTTACCAAGGGCTGTGGTCTTTGATCTTCATCAGTAAGTGCTTCAAGTCTTCCTCATTTTCAGCAAGCAGGGTTGTGTCATCTGCATAATGCAGGTTGTTAAAGAGTCTTCCTCCAATCCTGATGCCCCATTCTTCTTCATATAGTCCATCTTCTCAGAATATTTGTTCAGCCTGCAGATTGAAGAAGTATGGTGAAAGGATACAACCCCGCTGCACATGTTTCTTGACTTTAAATCACACATTATCCCCTTATTCTGTTCAGATGACTGCCTCTTGGTCTAAGTACAGATTCCTTGCGAGCACAATTAAGTGTTCTGGAATTCCCATTCTTCGTGATGTTATCTGTAATTTGTTATGATCCCCCTAGTCAAATGCCTTTGTATAGTCAATAAAACACAGTTTGTCCTAATGTGGGGGCTTGTGTGTTGCTGTGATACTGGAAGCTTTACCACTGGTATTTCCAATACCAGCAAGATCACCCTTGATGGACGGGTTTCAGTGAAGCTTCCAGACTAAGACAGACTAGGAAGAAAACCTCCCAGTCTACTTCTGAAAAATATTGGCCTGTGAATCCTTATGAACAGCAGCATAACATTGTCTGATATAGTGCCAGAAGATGAACCCCTCAGGTTCAAGACACTCAAAATACGACTGGGGAAGAGATGCCTCCTCAAAGTAGAGTCGACCTTAACGGTGTGGATGAAGTCAAGCCCTCGCGACCTTCATCTGCTGACGTGGCAGGACTCAAAATGAGAAGAAACAGCTGTAAACATCCATTAATAATCATAACATGGAATGCACAAGTATGAAACTAGGAAAATTGGAAATCATCAAAAATGAAATAAAACACATAAACATAGATAGCCTAGGCATTAGTGAGCTGAAATGGACTGGTATTGGCATTTTGAATCAGACAGTCATATGGTCTACTATGCCAGGAATGAGAAATTGAAGAGGACTGACTTTACATTCATTGTTAAAAAGAATATTTCAAGATCTATTCTGAAATACAGTGTTGTCAGTGATAGGATAGTATCCATACGTCTACAAGGGAGATCAGTTAATATGACAATTATTCAAATTTAAGCAACAACCACTGACATCAAAGATGAAGAAACTGAAGATTTTTACCAACTTCTACAGCCTGAAATGGATCAAACATGCAATCAAGATGCATTGCTGGAGATTGGAATGCCAAAGTTGGAAACAAAGAAGGATCAGTAGTTGCAAAATATGGCCGTGCTGATAGAAATGATGCCAGAGATCCCATGATAGAATTTTGCAAGACTAACGACTTCTTCATTGCAAATACGTTTTTTCACCAACATAAACTGCAACTATACGCTTCGACTTCATCAGATGGAATACTCAGGAATCAAATGTACAACTTGTGTATAAAGTAACGATGGGAAAGACCAATATCATCAGTCAGAACAACCCAGGAGCTGACTGCAGAACAGACCACCAATTGCTTATATAGATAGAAAAGCAATTATATGTGTATATATATCTATAGTCCCTGGGTGATACAAACAGTTACGTGCTCGACTACAAACCAGAAAATTGACTGTTCAAATCCACCCAGAGACGCTCAAAGAAAGGCCTGGCAATATGTTTCTGAAACAGCACAACCTTGAAAACCCTATAGAGCAGGTCTACTGTGCACACATGAGATGGGGTCGCCATGAATAAAGTCAACTTGATGGTAACTGATTTTTTTTATCCCTAATATAAAGATTTGCTACAAATCAAACATAAAAGGGTAGGAAAATTCAATACAAGAGAGCAAAAGAGTTGGACAGGTATTCACAAAACAAGACCGGCAAATAGGCAGTTTCCCCTTCAGGATTACTCTGCCAGCCCTGGAGATTTTTGAGCTGATAGAAACAGATCCAGCCCTCTCCAGGAATTACCTTTGATTAAAGAGAGAGTTTGCAGAGGCCCCACCCCCTTCCCAAGGCAGCTGGCATCTAAAGAGTGGCTGGTACCTCCCTGTCTAGAGCACTAATTGATGAGATTTAGGGTTTGTTTTCTCCCTTTTGGCAAATGTTTGCTTTGTGCCTCCCTCTCTGCTGGGAAACCTGCACTGGACACAGCAAACATGAAATGGACCAGCTCCCAGCAGTCCTGGGAGGCATCCTGCGTCTTATGTGATGTCCAGGTCTCCCTGGGCCACATCATAGAACTGCACCTTGTGGACGCACCACTGGACGCCTGAGGGCGCTGTGGCTCCACGGAGAGCTGCTGACAGTTGTGTGGGAGACTCAGGTTAAGGAGGAGTCTTGGCTGGGCCCTGGTAGGGGGAGCCTCTTTGAGGAACCAGGCTAATGGGAGGTCTGAGGGGTTAAATGTAGTCTCTGGCACCCACTGACATGATCTGCAGGTGCATTTGCCACAGCAGGGAGGGAGCCTTCTGGAGCCTGCATTTGGTGGGGGCATGAGGGGCTTTCAGGAGGCAGCCCCCCAGGATAACCAAGGCCAGGTGCATGCCAAGGATCAACGGTCTCAGAGGAAGATCAGAGAGGGTGTGGGGATGGTTACTGTCCCAACTCTGCCTGGCTACCTCGGCCTGCTGGCCCCACCTGCTCCACCGGAGCTGGACAGAGGGGAGGACCTGGGTGCAATGAGCCTGTGCTGTCAGGGGGTGGAGGGTGTACTTAGGATCCTACAGGGATGGTGACGTCAGAACAGCAGTGTCACGGGGACACTCTAGCCAGAGGAAGGGTAGCACAAGCCCACTCTTTGGAAGCCCTGAGCAAGAGATGCCCACCCCCTTCTTGCCCGACTCTGCCAGGGGCTCCAGGATCCTCTGCTGGGTGGCTCTGAGTCTCTTGAGGGCAGGTGAGTCCTGGGCTCAGGTGGGACCTCCCTGAACACACAGGTCTCGGTTGCTGCATAGTGTCAGGCTCCCGTTAGGCAAGCTCCAGCTTGTCCCATACCCTACAGGTCCTGTGGATGCTGGCATCGTCCAGTCCCCAAGACACATCATCACAGAAAACGGAGGACAAGCCACTCCGCAATGCCACCCTGTCTCTGAACATCGCAGCGAGTCCCGGTACCAGCAAGCCCAGGGCCAAGGCCCCAAGATCCTCGTTGAGTATTATGAAAAGGCGGACAGAAATAAAGGCGACATCCTGGACCGGTTCTCAGTCCAACAGTTCCCTAACTACAGCTCGGAGCTGAAGCTGAGCGCCCTGGAGCAGGGGGACTCGGCCATGTTCCTCTGTGCCAGCAGCACTGACAGCCCTGCAGAGCCACCTCACACCTGTACCCAAACCTCCTGCTCCCGATGGAGATGTGAGGGAGGGCAAGCAGGACAGCCCCAGCCCAGCCCCTGCGGTGCTGCGGTCCTTCCCCAACACTCCCTGCCATCGTGCGTGTCCAGAGCTCCCTGGCCACCGCATCACTCAGGTTCTCAGCTCATCGACACCCTCCAATCCTAGCAAAGGGCAGGAGCGCCTACTCAGTGGGAGAGAGTAGGAGTACAAGGAAGGACATTATTGTGTCCTCTTTATAGATGGGGACGTCTTGCATCACTTTACAGACAGGAAGCTGTAGCTCATGGAGACTCCCCATATTTCATATTTACAAATACTGGAGCCAGGATTCAAGCCTATGTCTCTAAGCTCCAAAACCAGCGTTTCCCCAGTTTTGGTCAATAAGATGTGATGGAGCATGCCTCTCTCCTGTGGAGACCAGCTGAGCAGGTGTGGGTGGTCGCACATCATGGTGTGTGGTTACTTCTACTTAGTCCCCTGGCTTCCAGGACCTAAAGCTTCAGCCAGAGAATAGGTGTGTGTCCCAAGCTGTGACCCAGTAGGAAGATGCTCCCCTCTGCCCCATTCCACAAGGAGCAGAGTCATGACATTCTCTTAATCCAGGACTAAGTAACTAGGGGGCTTCCCAGGAGCACAGAGGATTCAGCAGAGAAAATAGAAACCCACCAGGAATTGAAGAAAGGTTGGAGCTAACACAGGGAACTGGCACTCTCAAAACATCAGAAGTGCCGTAGGAGGGAGGGCCTGGTGAGGCTGCAGCCTGCTCTCAAGCCCACCACTAACGATCAGAAATCTGAAGTTACTACAGCTGCCCAGGTCAGGAGCTGGAGAAAACAGACGAAGGTCAGAGTGGACCTGTAGCCTCCATATAGATGATTCACAGGGAAGTGTCCAGGGGCCCCTGCAAAACACCCGTCTGCTGCTATGGATGAAACCTCTTTCTTCTGTCTACCAAATTTTCCCCAATGTAGCTTACTGGAAGAAGCTAAACCGTTTCCAGAAATGTGCTGTCAGAGGACTCTGGGGAATGGAGATTCAAGGTTTCTAGCTCTTGTAATACAGGCAAGAGTGTTGGAGAGCATTTAAGGGTACCTGGGGCCCTGGTAGCACAGTGCTTAAGAGCTCGGCTGTTAACCAAAAGGCCGACAGTTCAAATCCACCAGCCGCTCCTTCTAATCCCATTGTAAAGTTCTATTCTGTCCTATTGGGTTGCTATGAGTTGGAATCAAGTTGATGGCAAAGGGTTTTGTTTTTTGGGGGGAATTTTGGGTGCAAAGAAGGAGCCCTGGGGGTGCAGTGATTTAGCACTCACCTACTAACTGAAAGGTTGGAGGTTCAAACCCACCCACTGGCTCCCCAGGAGAAAGATGTGGCAGTCAACTTCTGTAGAGATCACAGCATTGGATACCCTATGGGGTAGTTCTACTTTGTCCTATAAGGTCTCTATGAATTGGAATTGACTCAATGGGAATGGGTTTTCTGGGTGCCGCGATAATACTTACCACCCCAACTAAGCAGACCAGAAAATGCAAGGCATGAGAGTGAATTTTAATTTGCTGCCGTCTTGCCCACAAAAATCAATTGTAGTTTAGCTATAGGATAGTTGTTACTCATTTGTTAAGTTCTTGAATATCTACCCTGGGAAAAAAATCCTTCAAGTTTGGGAAATAAGGCTTAATTTTAAAAAATCACACTGTTCATCTTTAAGAACAGAATGAAGGCCAGGTGATTTGATTCCATAAAGATTACAGTCAAGGAAACCCTATGGAGCAGACCTACTCTAACACAGGTGGTGGCCATGAGTCAGAATCAACTCGACAACGGCTACCAACAGCAACACAACATGATAACACATTGAAGAAGTGGATGACTTCAGATCCAAGCATCTCCCTTTTGCAAAGATCACATTAAGACGTGTGGTCACAGAAATAGCCCTGACTGAGCGATGGCCTCTCTATGAAACTACATCACCTACTGCTGTTGACTACACGGAAGTTCTGAGTTACAGCAAGCTTCTGGTTCAGCTGATGTTCTTCCATTTGGTGTGGAGAAGACCCTCTGAATGGAGACAGAGCGTTTCCCTTTGACTCTGTGAACACCATATTCACATCATGACACTTTTCCTCAAGGACTGCACAGTCACAAGGACTCAGGTGGCCCAGTCTTCCACAACCTCACCCAAACAAGGGAGGACCTGGCCCACAAGAGCACAGGGGAGCCTCGCCTGGAGGGCGGCTCTGTGAACTGCTGCAGAAGGTGCATCATGACTCTTCACCCCTGAAAACTTGCTGACTGTCAGGCTGGCTCTTTTAACAGAGGGTTCGCTGTAGGCTGACGCCAGCGATCCAGAATCCAGGTGAGGAGAAAAATTGGTAAGAGGTTCCTGGAGGAGAATTTTGATCAGACAAGTCATAAAAGTCACCAGGGTGGCCATGAGGATCTTCCCTATACTCCAGAAATATTAGTAAAGAGTAAAAATAGTATGTTGTTCTTAGTTGCCAATGAATTATCGCCAACACATGGCGACCCCACATGTGCAGAGTAGACTGGTCCATAGGGGATTCAAGGCCTTGGCCTTTCACGAGGAAATCACCAGGCTTTTCTTAGGTGATGTTTCTGGGTAGGTTCGAACACCCGGACTTTCTGCTTGTAGTTGAACACTTAATCCTTTGTGCCACTGAGGGACTTCAAAAACAACACTAATGAGGAACTATTTAATAGTGGGAATAAAATACACATAGAGAAAGAAATATCCTTCTCCAGAAGCCAGGGACACGGCATATGCACAGATAAACTTCTTTACAAACAGAGCTACAAATGCTCCACTCTGAGCTGCTGGGCTGTGCATCTATGATTGACTGGTTCCTGTGGGGAGTGGCGTGGTTGCCAAGCTCTGCGGCTCAAGCACCTGTGGGGAAAGTGATGTCGTGAGCGTCTCCACTGAAGGTCCACATCCCACGACAGAGCTGGGAGACACAGATTCTCCCTGCACTGGGATGGGTCCCAACCTCCTCTTCCCTGTGGCCCTCTGTGTCGTGTGGGCAGGTAAGTCCTGGTCACAGGTGCGCCTCCTTCCCAGGACCTCCCACAGCCTCAATACAAGCCCTTCTCCTGGGACCACTGCATCAGCCTCTGCTGCTGGCTCTTACAGGGCACACAGATGCTGGTGTCACCCAGACCCCAAGGCACAAGGTCACAAGGACAGGAGGGATTGTGACCCTGCAATGCACCCAGGACATGAACCACAACTACATGTACCCGGGACTGGGGCTGCGGCTGATCCACTACTCATCTGGTGTTCGTGTTACTGACAAAGGAGACCTCCCTGATGGGTACAATGTCTCCAGATCAAACACGAGGAACTTCCCCCTCATGCTGGAGTCGGCCGCCCCCTCGCAGACAGCTGTGTACTTCTGCGCCAGCAGTCTGCACAGTGCTGCAAGGCCACCTCAGCCCCGCACAGAAAGGGCAGCTAGAGGGGCTGAGGTTGCCCTTTGCTTATGAGCCCCAGCCTGGTAAGGCCACCTCCAGAAGCTCTGGCCTGCACAGGGCCTTCGAGTGTGCAGAGTCCCCCAAGAAGCCCCAGCCTCACTGTTGGTCACCTCACGCCCTGGCCTGCAGGTTCTCTCTGCTGCAGGAAGGGAAATGCATCTTCACGTGAGCTGCAGGGAGACGCCAGTGAGAGCCCCAGAGCCAGCACACTCTCCCATCTCCTCCCTGCGCAACCTCAGGTCACAGTCAACTGCCCTTCACACCCCTCTGCTCCCCACACCCTTCCTCTTGGGCCACCACCTTGCAAGGCCCCGACCACCCCCTGTCTGTCAGTTCAACGTGCTTCCAGAACAAGGCCAGGCAATCACCCAGCCACCACCTGGTCTGTCAGTGTCCCAAACCCATGAGGCTGGTAAAAAGAGAAGCCAAAGAGAAGGCTAACTACAGGTAAACCCCAAGAGTGTATTCATCTGTATCTCCAATTCCGTTGTCATTGGGGCATCCAGGTAGGATCATTGTCAGGGGCAAGTTGGGGGAAAGGATCAGAGATGTCCTGGAACATCCAATTGCCAAGCCTGGAGCTCTAGGTGGGGGCCCCTGGAGGAGCTCACCGCCATCCATGCACATGCTAAACCATCTTCTAGGTACATTTTAATTTGTAACGGTTTCCACGATGTGGGGACTGATGAGACAATGACATCACCTGCCTTGTGGGGAGAGGGACATCACTCTCCTCTGCTCATGTGCACAAACACTTTGACTTGGCAAATCTGTCAGTCCTGCCTGAACCACCATGGGCTCCAGGCTCCTCTGCTGGCCGTCTCTCTGCCTCCTGGGGGCAGGTGAGTCCCTGGACGCCAAGATCTCCGTAGTGGATTCGCCGTGATCACTCCACTCATTTCCTTCTTTCCATTTTCAAATTCTGTGTCTTCCCTGCAGAACACAAAGAAGCTGGAGTTGTCCAGACCCCCAGACATAAGATTACAGAGCACATACAGGCCGTGACTCTGTGGTGTGATCCTGTTTCTAGCCACAATACCCTTTACTGGTACGGACACACACCGGGACAGGGTCCCGAGCTCCTGGTTCACTTTGAGAATGAGGCTGTGCTGGATGATTCACAGTTGCCTAAGAACCGATTTTCTGCAGAGAGGCTCAAAGGAGTAGACTCCACCCTGGCGATCCGGGCAGCAGAGCCGGGGGACTTGGCCGGGTACCTACGCGCCAGCAGTTTAGCCCCAGCATGGCAGAGACACGTCCTTCCTGCGCATAAAATGAGTGCTTCTCTCTGCTCTGCCCGCAGGAGCGAGAAACAGAGACATTACCTTGCTCCTCGCTTTCCAAGAAAGGAAGTGGGTTTGCAGACATCTGCTTCAATTCATATAAAGTGGGGATACAAAATATTGATTGATACTCAAGGGCTGTAATGTTGTTTGTGGTCATCATTGCCCAATTAAGGCATGGGAGGGCCCTAAATACTGACAATCTGTGGTGTCCCATCCTCTGCTGGCTCACGCATTCCATCAGGTTAGGAATGTGGGGTTATACCCAATCTGTCCGATATGAAAAGGAAAATATAATTGTTATCATATTCAAAATTTATAAAATGTATATTTTATTTCTTTGTGGAATTGTTCAACCCCTATTTGGACCTATGTACATAAGTGATCTAACAATAGCACCACTTCTCGACAGGCAATTTTATTTTTCGAGTCATTACAATATCAATCAGTTTCTTAAAAGAAAGTCACTCTGAAGGGAAACGGAACACAAAATACATTAATATAATTTTTATTATCTAAGTATTCATTTAATATATTTCCTCGATGAACTACTCATTTTCCTTGAATGGAGTTCCATAAATATTCTGAAAAATTGTAAGTGTAATGTCTGATAAACCTTCTTTGTTGCTTTCTTGGAAGACGAATTTTGAAACACCCTCGTTGTTGCAAAACAGAACCATATTTACCAGAATAAATAAATATTGAATTTTATGTCCTCTTAATGTATCTAATACATCATTAATAGAGTAACATCAAGCACTGCGTCCTAGGCAACAGACAATAAAAAATGAAACTCACTTGATAGAGGAATACAAAATTTTTGAGTTAGATAAATCTTAATATTTCCAGTACATTTTGGGCATTTGCTATGGTAGTATTATATTAAATTATTAGCCATGCTAGTATTATATTAAATGTATGCTAGATTGTGTCTGTGTGTGTTTGTCAAACATATATTCAAGTTAAAGTTATAAATATTATTGTTTACAAAACTTAGGACACAACTCTGTATGTAAATGTTACACAGTTAAAAAGTAACTTGACTGAATTCATTGCAGTGGTTGACTTATTTGAGTCCTCTTGCTTTTGTGCATCATCCGGGACTGGAGTTCCCATTGGTTGTTTACCAGGATGTGCACAAGAGCAGACCCTCGTGTTTGTATCATGGCACAGAGCATTGCTAGCCCTCCTGGCTAGAGGTAACATGGATTACAGGATTGTTCTCTCAAACCTGATCAGAGATTTTTTATCCCGTCCTTGCCCAGTAACCACTCATGTTGGATCCAGTTACAACTTAGGTGAATGTAGCAAGAGTCAGACTTGACAATACCATCCCCAACCTCTTGTTTATTAGAAAGAAATAGCACACTCCCAAGAGACCCAACGAGATAAGGAGTTTCAATTACACAGGGGAGAACCATAAAAGACAGATGTCAATGAAGGTGTTGAAGTGGTAGGGGCCTTATAGCTTAAACTACCTTGTGTGTGGGTACCCTTGTGACCCTGCGTGAACTTTATTTCCAGCCGGCACATTCTCCTGCACTGGAGCTGGTATCAATTTAATCTAGTGCCCTGCCAGTTCCCTTCCACTGCAGTGCTCACTTTTCCTTGTGCCCTGTCTGCTTGACATCTATGAGTCTCTGCTTTGGACAACTTGTGCCCCTATTTTGTTGATGTCCTAAGCATGTTTTTAACTTGCTTATTGGGTAATCTGTCCTTGGGGGTCATTGCGGCTCAGGGATTTGAATCCTATCTCAGTAACTACTCAAGATCCAGAATCAGCCCTCTGAGTAGTGATGATTGTGTCCTAGAAAACTGTGTGATCACAAAACACGTGCAACGAGCTTTAATCATCTCACCTGTGGGTTACAGTGAGTAACCAGCAGCCCTCTCTCCCTGTGGTTGTTCTTGCCGTCTGGAGGAGATGAGTTGAAATCCTTGCTAACACCTTCACTCTCTACCTTCTCCTATGCCTTTACATTGCAAGTTTTCTGCCACAAAGTATCAGACCATAGCTTGTGTTTGAAAACATTTTTTCTTGCTTTTGTGGAGACAGGTTAATAATGAAGTTCTTCATGATGATGGTGATAATTTCAACTATTTTATTCAGTCTTTTGCCAACTTCAAAAAATGCACACAAAGGACTCCAGCAAGATGGCAGTCTAGGCAGAAGCACCACGCCGTCCCTCCACAACAAAGATCCGAAAAACTAAGCCAAACAGAGAATCAACA